ATTTACCGTTAAATCATCTTCATCATCCTCCTCATCATCCGTAAACTGTCCACGTAAAGGAGGAGGCCCACCATAACGCAAAGCTTCAGCAGAAGTACAGGGTTGTTGTTGTTGTTGTAAACTTGATGGGGTAGGGGCAGTACCAATTCCACGTTGTTGATTATTTAAAAAAGGTTGAATTTGGTTATTCTGCTGTTGTAAAATTTGCAGTGTTGATCCATTTACAAATTTAAGTTTATATTCAATAGTTCCAGACCATTCTGATCTGTTGGGCGACTCGGGAACAACCATCAAGTTTTTAATCGAGACCAGCTAAAATTGAATTTTTTATAAAAAATAATCTTCAAATTTAATTTTAATATTAAATTTTTTTTAAAAATTTTTAAAATAATATTGATAACTTACGCTATTCAATGTAGCTTCTTCCAATCTTTCTGCGTTCTTTTTCCACGAAAATACGTTCAAGCGTTCAGTTTCACCCTCTCTGCCGAGCTGAATTATCACATCACAACGGTCCCATAAATTACGCGGGGTAGGTGCGCGTTTACAGAAAACAACAAATCCAATGAGTTCACTAATATGAAAATTAAATTTATATTAAAAAAATTTTTTTAATTTTTTATTTTTTTATATGAAAAATTTCATTTTTAAAATATAGGATTGAAGAGAGACATTAATAATAGATTAGAGAATTAAGATTAGAAAGAATTAACGAAATAAAATTTTATTACTCAAAAACATGGTCTTTCTTCCAATCTAACAAGAGCAAATTTGTTGAAGTGCATCGCGTAACATTGTCGATTTGTGGTACTAAGCTGTAATTTTCCGGCTTGTTTGAGTACGACCGTTGACGCCGTTTTTCCATGATCTAAATTTTTATTAAAAAAGCTTTTACTAATATGAAACCGTATTTACTCGATTAATTCCCCCGAGGAATTATTTTCTCAACCCTTCCATGGCATGGGGAATTAATCGAGGGAGGGGAATTATTCGAGTTTTGGCATTTGACGTGCAGTCTTGTATTTGGGAATGGGGAATTATTGTTTCAACCCAATTCTGGCATGGGGAATTAATCGAGAAAGGGAATTATTCGAGGGAGAGGAATTAATCGAGAAAATACAGTAAAATTTTATTTTTTTGTAAAATTTTATTTTTTGTAAAAATTTTTTAAAAATTGTTTTACCTGTGCCAAAACATCTGGTGGAATCACAGGTTGAATTTGTTGTTGTTGTTGAAGTTGATTATTATTATTATTGGCCTGATTTACACGTTGTTCAGTAATAGGTGAGTCTATACGTCTTCGACTTTGAGGTTGGTAGCTTGAATCATTAGCTGATCTTTTTTTTCCAACCATTAGTTACTAAAAAATAAATTATTTTAAATTAGCTAAGTTGTTGATTAATTAAAATATTATAGTTAGAATAATGTGCTTATATATATGGACAAAGTTTTTGTTTTGAATGAAAATATTTAGATTTTAAAAATTCCTTTGTAATAAAATGCTTTTTTTTTATTTTCATTGTATAAACCAAAAAAATATATAGATTAGATCTTTTACTTAAAAAATACAATTCAACTTAAAAACTCTTTTTTATATAAATAAATTCTTTTTAAATTAAAATTACTCGTTGTGTCCAATATAAACATAAAGAATCAGAATCTCTACAAATCCTTTTGTTCTATTAGTATTTGTTTGTAGCATTCCATTAAATATTTGGTTGTTGAAATTGTTTTATTGTTGAAGTCTTTTTTTTAATTAAACATTTTGTTTGGATAGAAATTTTAAAATACCTCAAAACTGCTTCCCAAGTTTCTTTTGCTATTGGAACAATCTTTAAACGAAAATAAATTAATTTTTAAAGAGGAGTATCCCCTAATTAATTAAAAATTGTGTGTTTCTTTTTTTCAAAGTGATTATTTTGTTTAAATATTCCTTAATTTTTTCCCTCCAAATAAATACCTAATTTCCATCACGAACAGTCTTCGGGTCACAGTTCAACAACAAAAAAGAATTTAACGCCCATTCTGCCTTTTCCTCAGTCTTCGCTGTCACCAGATGCCGGATACCTGCAAAAAATACAATTTTTTATCTACTTAATATTTTCCTTCAATTATTTTATAAAAATACTAAGCGTTCTTTATAAAAATACTAAGCGTTCTTTATAAATACGAACATAGTGTCAGCACAAGTTCCAACTGTATATTTAGGTCCATAAGTTGATTACAATGCTTGAGCAGCATGTACTGCTACACTACTTTATTATTGTACCTTTTAATTTAATTTTAAATTGATTTTTAAAAAATAAATTTACATCTTGTGGATATGTACGTAATGAATGGCCAAATAGATACATTAATACATGAGAACAACTTTAAAATAAAATTTTTTAAATAAGTGTAACGTATTAATTTTTTAAATAAAAAATTAAAAAGAAACTTCTTATATTTATTTTAATTTTATTTAATTTTTTTATCTTTTTCCTTTCAAGCCTCTTTAAAAAAGCTACCTTAGTAAAGCTCTTTTAATTATTTAAATATATGTAGAAACCTATGACATGTCATAAGTGTTTTATTCTTCCTTGCTGTTGAGAAATATTATCGCTAGCAGATTGAGTTTCCGGCTCTGAGAAAGCAAAATTCCCCTAAAAATTATTAATTAAAAATTATTTTTTACTAATAGAAATCATTTACAGCAAATATTTCAGAACAAGGATCTCAAGAAAAATCATCTTGTCCAAAAAACCAATCAAAATTTCTATTTAAATCAACACCTTGACAACATTGAGTATTTGGAGGGGTAAAAAAAACCTGTTAAATAAATTTTTTTGATTTAATAGTTAAAATGATAAAATAGTTGTTCTAAGTAATTTAGGGGCTAACAATAATCAACTAAATATATAACAAACACATTAGCCCGGTTAACTAAAGATGCTGGTTTGCTCCTAATAACCTTCATTAGTTGAAAGAGAAATAGATCTAGCCCAAGATTTATTTAATTAGTTATTCAAAAACTTAATTTCCTATTTGAATATTTAATTAATTTCCTGTAGTATTTACTTCCAATTTATTTATTGAAATTAAATTCCATAAATTTAATTACCAGTATTTATTTGTGTACATTGCGTCGGTAAACGATTTTTCCTCCAAAAACGAATTTCTGGATCCCTGGAAATCTTTAAATTCAAATGATTTCTGAAAATAAAAAGAAAATAGAGTTATATAAAAAATACAAACTTTTTTAATATTTCAATCATTTCTTCACTTTCTTTGTCATATTCCATTTTTTAATATTGATCCATCCATTTCTTCAATAACAACAGCACTTTGAATAACTTTCCTTGTTATTCAATTCATAATTGAAGGAGAAAGTTTTTCACATTTATCAAAAATAACACATCGTTCCACAAAATGTTAATGGTTGTGGAAATCTTTAATTGAAATATAGATTTTATTGGAATATACAAATTTTTAATAGATATTAAGAAGGAAATTTAGAAGAAAAAAGGCTAGGAAACAACATCAAAGAAAACCTGTGCATAGGGTTCCTTTTAGCCTATCCAGTTACCAGATACATAATTATTGGGAATGAGGAAGATATTTAATTTTCACTATAAATATGGTCAACTATATAGAGTCTAGGACGTACATTAAATAGAGTTATACTAAATAGGGGATGTCTATCGAGAAAATTTTTTTCGAAAACCTTTCTCCAAATAAATAGGTTCAGATTCAGAAGTACTAGGCCTTGGTGTATTAACACAAGCAATTGCCAATTTTGCACGAATATGTTGTTTAGCTAATTCTGCTGCAGCACCACAATATTGCCCTTTTAATGTTTTCTTTTCTTCTTTCTGTTTTTCTTATTTTTTGGGAAGTATTTTTGTTGGATTGGGTTTTTGTTCTTTTACAGCAGCTTTTTGTTCAGCCAACATTTGACGTCGAAGAATTCTTCCTTTTTTTGATTAAAAATTTTTTGTATTCTTCAAAACTTGGCATAGATTTGACTCCTAATTTATCAACTATAATTTACCCAATATTCCCAGATATCTAGGTATTATAAGCACATAATCTATGGTGGAATGGGGATGTTCTCTTCACACTAATATGCTGTTTTTTCTAGCTTTCCAGACAAAATAAAACTTAAGACTGGGCAAAAAGGACATTTCGGATTCCTTTGGAAAGGTAATTGATCCATTAATTTATAAATCCTTTACATACCCTAAAATTAAGAAAATACCGTAAAATGTCTTTTTAGTAAAATATCCTCCCCAAAAATTAATAAAATAACCTTAGTAATTTCCTGAGTTCTAATAGTAGCTTGTTCTACTTTAAATCGACCTTCAGGCAATCTTAAATTAATACCAACTTTTGTAAGACCACGATTTTGCATTATTGCCTTAATAATTTCTCGGTCCATACAAAATATTTATCATTTCCTCTTTTGTTTTAATTTGAAAATGTTTAAGTAAATGCTCTTTCAGTTTGGATATCTGGAACATCTTCAATCTCGTCAATCATAGAATTGTTTAAAAATGAATTTTCAAGCATTCCATGATCAAAACAGAAAATATAACGAATTTCTATAAAAAAGAAAATTAAAATTTTCAGAATTTAAATCATAGATGTGATATCAGTGTTGAGAAAAATCGGGTTCGGTTTTGTTTCTTCGGATCGCTTTTCCGGTAGAAAAAAGTCCGGGTTTCGGATCAGGTCAGTTAGCGGAATTAAGAGAGAAAAAGTTGAGTCAGACTTTGTCAACATTTTCGTAATGAAAAAAGTCTAGGTTTTGGTTGACCCGGGACATCCCTGATATCCAGTAAAAGAAAAAAATTTTAATTCAAAACCTCATGCTAATCCAAAAAGCACCGCCTTCATCAGCTAACAAATGTCCCCAACCACCAACTTGAAAATACAAAAAAATTGAAAAGCTAAGAGAAAGTTTTAATCAACTCCATGCACACTACCATCAGACTAAAAGGAGAAAATTATTCAAAAATAATTTAAAAATTTTTTAATACCTTCAAAAGACAACAAGTAGAACCAGTACCGGCAATTAGATGAACCAGTACCGGTAAGAACCAGTACCGGCAATTAGTCTTCAATATTTTTCTGAAGACTTCCAAAAATTTAGGTTTAATTACCCTAAAAACAAAATTAAATAAGTACACAAATAAAAAAATAAGTACACAATAAAATAAGTACACAAATAACTCAAAATCGATATTGCTAAACCTGGAAAAAATTTTTTGCTCGGGCATCGAACCGTCCCTGAAAATGTTTGGCACTCAAATGTTCTTCGCCGCGGAACGTCCTGAAAGGTTTTGGTTTTGTCTACTGTAGATGGGGGAGGGGGGGTATCAATAGGATTGGGTACGATTTGAAATTATTGATTAGTTAGAACAGGACAGCTCTGAAGAGACTGCCTATTTGGGGAGAGAAAAAAATTTTTTCTCTGACTTCTCTCACCCAATAGGCAGTCTCTTCAGAGCTCTCTTGTTCTAACTAATCAATAAGTTAATAGGGGTAATATAGTAGTAAAAAAAAATACCCCAAAATTATTAATCCATAAATAACTTACTGTATATTAATAGGATATAGTTCGTCTTGGTATATTAAATTCTATATTTAATGATGATTCGAATGGTATATCGTAACCCAATTCGCGATGGTTATTTCATCGGGCAAATCCACTTTGAATATATCAGTCAAAAAAATAACCAAAAATTATTAATCCATAAATAACTTACTGTATATTAATAGGGTATAGTTCGTCTTGTTATATTAGATACTATATTTAATGGAGATTCGAATGGTATATCGTAACCCAATTCGCGATGATTACTTCATCGGGCAAATCCACTTTGAAAATATCAGTCAAAAAAAATAACCCAAAATTATTAATCCATAAATAACTTACTGTATATTAATAGGGTATAGTTAGTCTTGGTATATTAGATACTATATTTAATGAGATTCGAATGGTATATCGTAACCCAATTCGCGATGATTACTTCATCGGGCAAATCCACTTTGAAAATATCAGTCAAAAAAAATAACCCAAAATTATTTATCCATAAATAACTTACTGTATATTAATAGGGTATAGTTCGTCTTGTTATATTAGATACTATATTTAATGGAGATTCGAATGGTATATCGTAACCCAATTCGCGATGATTACTTCATCGGGCAAATCCACTTTGAAAATATCAGTCAAAAAAATAACCCAAAATTATTAATCCATAAATAACTTACTGTATATTAATAGGGTATAGTTTTTCTTGGTATATTAGATACTATATTTAATGGAGATTCGAATGGTATATCGTAACCCAATTCGCGATGATTACTTCATAGGGCAAATCCACTTTGAAAATATCAGTCAAAAAAATAACCCAAAATTATTAATCCATAAATAACTTACTGTATATTAATAGGGTATACTTCGTCTTGGTATATTAGATACTATATTTAATGGAGATTCGAATGGTATATCGTAACCCAATTCGCGATGATTACTTCATCGGGCAAATCCACTTTGAATATATCAGTCAAAAAAAATAACCCAAAATTATTAATCCATAAATAACTTACTGTATATTAATAGGGTATAGTTCGTCTTTTTATATTAGATACTATATTTAATGGAGATTCGAATGGTATATCGTAACCCAATTCGCGATGATTACTTCACTGGGCAAATCCACTTTGAATATATCAGTCAAAAAAAATAACCCAAAATTATTTATCCATAAATAACTTACTGTATATTAATAGGGTATAGTTTTTTTTGGTATATTAGATACTATATTTAATGGAGATTCGAATGGTATATCGTAACCCAATTCGCGATGGTTATTTCATCGGGCAAATCCACTTTGAATATATCAGTCAAAAAAAATAACCAAAAATTATTAATCCATAAATAACTTACTGTATATTAATAGGGTATAGTTCGTCTTGGTATATTAGATACTATATTTAATGGAGATTCGAATGGTATATCGTAACCCAATTCGCGATGATTACTTCATCGGGCAAATCCACTTTGAATATATCAGTCAAAAAAAATAACCCAAAATTATTAATCCATAAATAACTTACTGTATATTAATAGGGTATAGTTCGTCTTTTTATATTAGATACTATATTTAATGGAGATTCGAATGGTATATCGTAACCCAATTCGCGATGATTACTTCACTGGGCAAATCCACTTTGAATATATCAGTCAAAAAAAATAACCAAAAATTATTAATCCATAAATAACTTACTGTATATTAATAGGGTATAGTTCGTCTTGGTATATTAGATACTATATTTAATGGAGATTCGAATGGTATATCGTAACCCAATTCGCGATGGTTATTTCATCGGGCAAATCCACTTTGAATATATCAGTCAAAAAAAATAACCAAAAATTATTAATCCATAAATAACTTACTGTATATTAATAGGGTATAGTTCGTCTTGGTATATTAGATACTATATTTAATGGAGATTCGAATAGTATATCGTAACCCAATTCGCGATGATTACTTCATCGGGCAAATCCACTTTGAATATATCAGTCAAAAAAAATAACCAAAAATTATTAATCCATAAATAACTTACTGTATATTAATAGGGTATAGTTCGTCTTGGTATATTAGATACTATATTTAATGGAGATTCGAATGGTATATCGTAACCCAATTCGCGATGATTAATATACTTCCATTACCCTAAAGTTATAATCCCTCGAATAAAATCACAAAATAAATAATATTTATTTTTAAAATATTGGGGTAAAACAAAAATTTTTTCAAAAATCTTAACGTATATAGAGAATCGATAGCTTTGAAAATATCAGTCCACTTTGAAAATATCAGTCAAAAAAAAATAACCCAAAATTATTAATCCATAAATAACTTTCTGTATATTAATAGGGTATAGTTTTTTTTGGTATATTAGATACTATATTTAATGGAGATTCGAATGGTATATCGTAACCCAATTCGCGATGATTAATATACTTCCATTACCCTAAAGTTATAATCCCTCAAATAAAACCCCTAAATAAATAATATTTATTTTTAAAATATTGGGGTAAAACAAAAATTTTTTCAAAAATCTTAACGTATATAGAGAATCGATAGCTCATATGTAAGTACATTAAAAGATATCCCAAAAAATGGTGAACCGAATTGATATACTTCCTTTACCCCAAAGATATAATCCCTCAAATAAAACCCCTAAATAAATAATATTTATTTTTAAAATATTGGGGTAAAACAAAAATTTTTTCAAAAATCTTATCGTATATAGAGAATCGATAGCTCATATGAAAGTACATTAAAAGCTATCCCAAAAAATGGTGAACCGAATTGATATACTTCCTTTACCCCAAAGATATAATCCCTCAAATAAAACCCCTAAATAAATAATATTTATTTTTAAAATATTGGGGTAAAACAAAAATTTTTTCAAAAATCTTAACGTATATAGAGAATCGATAGCTCATATGTAAGTACATTAAAAGCTATCCCAAAAAATGGTGAACCGAATTGATATACTTCCTTTACCCCAAAGATATAATCCCTCAAATAAAACCCCTAAATAAATAATATTTATTTTTAAAATATTGGGGTAAAACAAAAATTTTTTCAAAAATCTTAACGTATATAGAGAATCGATAGCTCATATGAAAGAACATTAAAAGCTATCCCAAAAAATGGTGAACCGAATTGATATACTTCCTTTACCCCAAAGATATAATCCCTCAAATAAAACCCCTAAATAAATAATATTTATTTTTAAATATTGGGGTAAAACAAAAATTTTTTCAAAAATCTTATCGTATATAGAGAATCGATAGCTCATATGAAAGTACATTAAAAGCTATCCCAAAAAATGGTGGACCGAATTGATATACTTCCTTTACCCCAAAGATATAATCCCTCAAATAAAACCCCTAAATAAATAATATTTATTTTTAAAATATTGGGGTAAAACAAAAATTTTTTCAAAAATCTTAACGTATATAGAGAATCGATAGCTCATATGAAAGTACATTAAAAGCTATCCCAAAAAATGGTGGACCGAATTGATATACTTCCTTTACCCCAAAGATATAATCCCTCAAATAAAACCCCTAAATAAATAATATTTATTTTTAAAATATTGGGGTAAAACAAAAATTTTTTCAAAAATCTTATCGTATATAGAGAATCGATAGCTCATATGAAAGTACATTAAAAGCTATCCCAAAAAATGGTGGACCGAATTGATATACTTCCTTTACCCCAAAGATATAATCCCTCAAATAAAACCCCTAAATAAATAATATTTATTTTTAAAATATCGGGGTAAAACAAAAATTTTTTCAAAAATCTTATCGTATATAGAGAATCGATAGCTCATATGAAAGTACATTAAAAGCTATCCCAAAAAATGGTGGACCGAATTGATATACTTCCTTTACCCCAAAGATATAATCCCTCAAATAAAACCCCTAAATAAATAATATTTATTTTTAAAATATTGGGGTAAAACAAAAATTTTTTCAAAAATCTTATCGTATATAGAGAATCGATAGCTCATATGAAAGTACATTAAAAGCTATCCCAAAAAATGGTGGACCGAATTGATATACTTCCTTTACCCCAAAGATATAATCCCTCAAATAAAACCCCTAAATAAATAATATTTATTTTTAAAATATTGGGGTAAAACAAAAATTTTTTCAAAAATCTTATCGTATATAGAGAATCGATAGCTCATATGAAAGTACATTAAAAGCTATCCCAAAAAATGGTGGACCGAATTGATATACTTCCTTTACCCCAAAGATATAATCCCTCAAATAAAACCCCTAAATAAATAATATTTATTTTTAAAATATTGGGGTAAAACAAAAATTTTTTCAAAAATCTTATCGTATATAGAGAATCGATAGCTCATATGAAAGTACATTAAAAGCTATCCCAAAAAATGGTGGACCGAATTGATATACTTCCTTTACCCCAAAGATATAATCCCTCAAATAAAACCCCTAAATAAATAATATTTATTTTTAAAATATTGGGGTAAAACAAAAATTTTTTCAAAAATCTTATCGTATATAGAGAATCGATAGCTCATATGAAAGTACATTAAAAGCTATCCCAAAAAATGGTGGACCGAATTGATATACTTCCTTTACCCCAAAGATATAATCCCTCAAATAAAACCCCTAAATAAATAATATTTATTTTTAAAATATTGGGGTAAAACAAAAATTTTTTCAAAAATCTTAT